GACATTAAATACCATCAGAAACTACTGATGTAGCCTAGAATCTATTTGTGACACAGTTTCTGCTAAGTAACTAAGAAGTAACAAGACTTTTCTTCTAATACAAACTTTGGAACCTTTTGGTTTTCATTTAAATCACTGGCAATGAAAGTTAAATAATTTTTCCTGCAAGAAGACATAGTCACGAATGGGTATTATGTTGACTTCCTTCAAAAAGACCCATGAGATTAATTTTGTTTTAGTAAGTCTAGAGCATGCCACTTACAAGACAGCTGCACAAAACAGTCCCAGACACACACACTCCAACCGCACCCATGTCCTGCTCCCTTTCTCAGAACTAATCAGTCAATGAAGGAAAGAATGTGGGTCTCATCCCATTTTAATTTGATTTTTAATTTAACAGATACACCAAAGTCTTTGTTCCTACTATCAAGCTCCCAACATTTTGTTTGCATTAGGTCTTGCTGACCTTGACACAGAATAAGAATTATATTTGTAGCTGAATGACTAATTCTTCATCAGCTTCTCCCATGTTACTAACACACATCAATAGCTCCTTTGTATGTATCCACCTTTTTTGTTTACCATAACACTTCACTGCTACCAGAAAGACAGACCTCAATCTTTATTGAGGCTTGGGAGATGCTACTGCCCTTTGAAAAAAATGTTTTCAGGACACAAACTTAAAACCTAAGCACCCTTTTCAAAAGCTTTCAGGAAGCTATGTAACAATGTTTCATTCCTTATCCCATCCATCTTACTTTAATTACGGAGAAAAAGGCATAGAAGAAAAAAAAAAAAACAACCAAACACCAGAATATTCACCCTTTGCTTTTCAACCCTGTCCACTGCTTCCTCACTTAACTGTGGTTGTAATCTCCTTCCCCCATCATTCCTAATTTACTGGCCCACCTGTTGGTAAAGATGCTCTAATCCCACTTAGTCAAGTGGATCCTGTCTTTCACCACCAGTCCTTAATCCTCAAAGAGGTTTCCCTGGTCATAAAAGCCAAGTCCCTGGTCAGAGGTGATACTTTACCAGTAAGAGCCTTTCTAAGAGAAATCCCACACTTTATCAACCTTCTGTAGCCATGACTACACAGAAAATTGCATTTTTAAGTTTTTTCCAAACACCTGCATAAGATGGGCTGCTTTGTTCATAAGCTACACAAGTAATACCATTTTTGATTACTCACAGAAGATGACTTTGATTTTATATACAGCTGGCTATGACTTCACACTATGAATAGACTGCAAGAACCAGGCACACCAAACAGACAAAAGCTTCATTTTCACGCAAATGTTCTCAGGAAGCCACATAAAGGAAAGAAATATCATATCATGTTTTCATGTTTCGTTCTGTACTGCTTACAAAGCGGTGTCTGCAGGGAATGCTTGCAACCAGGGAGAAGACTGGAGACTTTCTCTGTTGCTCCCAGGAGTCTAGATTATAAACTTTCCTCCCCACTTAAAAAAAAAGAGTCTTGTTTCATCAAGAAGTTCCCTGCTAGTACTTCCAATAGAAGGTTTTTTACATTCAAGAAAAAAAAAAGCAAACACCCCAAATATATAGCAGTTTCTGGAGAAAAACAATCAGGCACTTCACTCCCAGGTGTACTCCTTGAGAGCAGTTTTTCTCTCCCCTCAGTTTGGGTGGGATTGGGATTTGACATTTACAAATGACAATACAACAGGCACCCACTGGACTGCTTTCCTAAACCCACCACGTGTGAGACACTCTCCCCTTTCTGTACACATGAATATAGCAGCAGAGAAGATAGTCCCTGGCATTAAGAGAAAAGATACTCCAGTCCTTGACTCACCATAGTAGGTGCTACACAATCACTTCAAGACAGCACCTTCCCCACTGAACGGCTATGTCCGACAGGTTCAAACACTGGAATCAGCAAATGCTTCAAATCTGACCTCTCAAACATTGCTTATTATGTATGCTCAGTAACCATGACAGTACTTCGAAGAAGGCAAACATTACTCAGAAAGACCCTACACAATCACAGCTGTAACTCTGAGGTGCCATTTTTGCTGTAGAAGTCAAGGAAAGCCTAGTATGAAAGAGGTAATGGACATAACATCAGCATTTTCTTCCATGCAAGGGGTGTACAATGCTAAAGACCTCCAGCTTCATTGATCACAAGCTCAACTCAATATGGCTAGGAGAGACTAGTGCTTCGGCTCGTAAGTGCTTTGTCTCTGAAGAACATGCTGTCTCTTCATGACCATGTGCTTCCCCAGTCCATCAGTTTAACTATTAGGTTCTTCTGAGACTTAAAATCAAAATAAAACTCCTTGGCTTTGCTTACCAAGGAGAAACTGAAAAGAATAATGAAGCTCACAAGGGCTATGAGTTCACATCTTCAGCTTTCCAAGCTGGCAGATCACAAGACACAAGGTTTTAGGATTAACTGCTAGAAGATCTCTAGTATCCTTCTTCATGCCTTCCAGGAACATGACCTTGCATGTGAAGAATACAGAGAAGAGACCAGTCCAACACAGAACAGCCTCTCAAGCCAGCCTGTGGCAGACCTGGGGTCTCTCAAGACTGGACAGACCACACTGCTTTCTGTAGTGAACATAACTATCACAGTCCTGTTCAAGCAATAACAGGTATTAGAGGCTGAAAAAGCTGTTCACAAAAGTGAACGTGACTAAGCATGCAATACTCTCGAGCAGTCACCAGATGTCACCACATCTCAAGAGACTCGTAGGGAAACTCTTAGCAGGCCAAGTGATAGACATAGAAAAGAAGGTTTCCATCATACATATGCAGCTTCAGGTCCAAAGAAAGACCAGAAAAAGCAATTCAGTGACCAAGACGACTTCCCATCAAACAACTTAACGCATGGATGTTTAGGAGTTAAAGGACCTGGACTGGCCATCTAAGGCAGTGCCTTCCAACCTTTCTATCTCAACCAGATGGCTGCTGCTATCTCTTCTTTCTCACTTCTCACCTCAAGCCCTGTATCCTTGCTCCTCAACCACCCATACAGGAACACTGCCCCTGGAAGCGATCACCAGTCCCGCTTCCCAGGACTTCTGCAGCTCTCATGCAACCCAGGTTTGCTCACCACAGTTCGAGGCTGAGTGGAACTGAAACTCCTCGTCATCGTGCTCTTATACATGCACAACAACCTCGGTGCCAGATGTTAATGCATCTTCTAAATTGGTCTCTCAGATTAAAACTTCCTTATTTCTTTTGTGGATTTGGGTTTCAGCATTTACATTCCAAACTGCCACTGGTGAGATCCCGGTTCTGCCTTTTGTACAAGGCAGGACTTGGGCAAAGCATGCTCTGTCCACTGGTAGCGATCCAGCCTGCTGCTGACATGAACACTGCACCAACACCAGCAATCTTACAGTCCATTCTAAAATGGCAGTGAAGGTGTCAGGAATAAATGAAATACAGATTTCTACATCACCCTCTGTAAAGTTAAAAAAAAAGCAAACCAAAACAAAAAACATAGTATAACCAAGAGACACACACACATTCTCCTTGGTCAAGAGGGACTGCAGTACCAGTCCCAGAAATATCCGTGTTTGCTTTTCTCCAGTTTAGTGGCCTCCCTATCTTTCTGCCCCTTCTGCTGGAAACAGTAGACAGTGCTCTGCACATCTAGACCCCAGTCCAGCAGTACCCAATAAAATGCCAAATATTTGGCCCATTGGGCCATCATAGTGTCCTCAAGTTCTAGTCATGTTCCAGGGTCCTCAAGCAGTAGACACACACGCACACACACACAAAAAAAAAAAAAAAAAAGTTGCAGAGAGTTCCTGTCCAAAAAGTGATGTTGTGATGTTATGTCACCTCTAGTGATGCCTGCAGGGCAAAGTGGCTGCCATATATTCCCAGCAGCCATGCATGAATCAGTGACACTCAGACTAGTAGTGCTTAAACCCTCAGCTGTACAAGACCACACCATTTCTTCCAGTAGCAGGGAGGGCTAAACATCCCAGCTCCTTCCCCTCTGTCACAGCAGGCCTACAAGACATGAGCAAGTGCTGCAGCTAACGTACACATGCACAATAGGCCTCCAATTTAAAAAAAAAAAACCCAAAAAAACCAAAACATTGTCTCACTGAGTGTCCACTACACAGCACATTCGCACAAGTTTGCTGACCCACAATGTTCCAGGGAGAGGAGCCCAGGAGCAGGCTTCTTTTACCAAATCCATTCATGCATGCTGCTCCAGGCATCTCCCTTCCTAAGGGACTTTCAGACACTAAGGACACTGCACAGTCTCCAGAAAAAGAGGTAGCTAGAAGGCAGGCCACAAAATGCACAAACAGTTTTTGGTGAACTGTAGGTTTGACAACTCTGATTTAAATCTTCACTTCCCTTTGAACAGAACAGAAGGAAAAAAGAATGGGTGCAGGGGAAGGAAAAAAAAAAGACTGGGAGAAAAAGAAACACAGAAAGAAAGACACAGTGGGAATTTAATAAGTCCACTGATATAAAGGGATGTTGTCAACACAGGGCTTAAGGACCCGTGCAAGCCTCAGTCCACCCCCCCAAAACCAAGAACAAAATCTGCTCTAGGTTGGAAACCCCCAAAAGATATCTTGATTTCAAGCAACTGTGTATGGACACAGGTAGCTATGACTCCGAAAGAGTAACGCACAGATATTTTTAAGAGCCTAGAGCAAAACCAGAGACTGCGATCCATTATATATTAGAACATAACATGGCATCTCTCATCAACCAGTGGTACAGGGCAAGCTGGCATGCTTGGAGCTGTACTGTCTCCACAGTAGATGGTTCCACTGCAGAGAACATTACTAGCACACCTCTAAACCATTTCACCCAGCATTTAGAAAGCTGGGAATAATTATAAAAGAAGAAAAGAAAGTAAGGTTTAAAACAAAGCTGTAGTGAAAAATATGGACAGAAACGTGAACTTCAATAGGAACCTCAGGACACACAAAGCACACACTCCATTAGGTACAAAAAAAAAGACCTTTAAAAACAGAGGAAGAACAATCACTTACCTTTCAAAAGGGGCTGGAAAGTTGGAATTTCCTGCAGTTTTATGACATCTGGATCATTGCTGACGTTCCGGGAGGATTGCGTTCCTGGGGCTACCACCACAATGTCATCCATTTTTGCTCGTTGCTTGGCTGGCGATGGAGATGCTGGAAGGATACGGGGCGGGGTGAGGGAACGATCAAATTAATAAGCAAATTCCATCAGAATTTAACCCTAAGCCAATGTTACCATGTTTAACATAGCAGAGGTACATTTTCTACAGTATGAACACATCTCTGAGATCACTCAAGGATGGTACTCTCCTGTCACACCCTCTCTCTGTGAATCTATTAGGTTCAGCAGGTTTTTTTCAAGATCAGGTAACAGCTGATGAAAGACTTCTTGCCTTCTCACTCCAGGGATAATCCAACATGCTTTTGTTTTAGTGATGAAGGTAAAAACACCAAACACTGCATATTCATCAGCGTCCCGCCGCAGTAAGGCTCTTTTACGGTATTAGATCTCTTCACAGGAAAGGTTTGGTTCAACAGCTTAATTCCAAGTCCATTTGGGACACTCGTTCCAGCCTTGCGCATTCCTCGCCGTCACTCACCGGGAAGATACTCAGACGAAACACCTGCACCGCTGACGCTCTCCCCCGAGCGCTGCGCCCTGCTCCCGTACCCCCTCCGGGGCTCTGGGGTGCACCCACCTCGCC